TATATATATACAAATTCTGTTGCCAATCGCGTCAGCTTGTTTTTAGAAGGTCTGTTTTCGTCAATCTTCAGTTATACACACATTATCCGAATCTTCGAAACTTTCTCAACAGGCCGATAAAATATCCAACATTTCAGAAATTGGCAAACATAAGCAAGTGTAAAACCTTTTCCCAAAAAGGTAGTAGGTTCATTTGTTCCGACCTTTGGCTTCATCTATTCCGCGAATCTTGATTTTGGTCTCAATAACCTGATAGTAGGTCGTGGAAGACCTGCAGCATGAGCAGTCCTGAGGATGACAAACAAAGCAGCAGAGATGTGGGCCCGGAAGCGTACAGACAAGCTAACTGCCGGTCTAATGCAATTGATACTATGTTGAAAATGACTGTACCGCGATCAAAGAAAGGCCTGGGTCTTATCTCTCAAATAGTTAACGCAGTTGTACGTGCGAAGCTTGCCCTAGCAACATGGTGATGTGTACGACTTGGATCTTGTGAAGCCACAGACATTTTGTAAATAATTAAGTAGGTCAAATTTTCTTATGATAATAACATGCACAGGATGGATCTTTCGCCCTAATCAATGTACGTGTAATGAGGAAATGGCACCACGACGCCACATGCAAACGCCAGTAAGACGACAGTATACAATACTTATAGCATATATAACATGGGCAGTATCGATTTGCCCACGAGTTTTGCTCTTGTCGTAAATTAATATATCAATTACCTAGTTAATAAAAGAGCTTTCTCCATTTATACCTATTCAATACGAGGACACTGTTGAAACTCATTTAAGAAACACCTAATACTTGCCTACGCCTAGAGTAGTGACGCTGACCTATTTACACACTGAACCATTCGTATTCTTGTAAACGCTGTTAAAATCATCAAATAGATTTTCATTCGCTCCTATGAGCCTAATTATTTGCTTGCATCTGTCGCAGAACCCATTTAGGCTGGGACTAGGCCAACCGCAAAAGCTATCTGCCAGGAACGCTGTCACGCGTAATGCCTAAGGTTGCATAGAAGAGGAGTTCGCAAAGAAGGGCACGTAGTAACTTGATTGACTAACCTGCCATTGTCGAGATGCCGAACGTCAATCCCAATGTCATATCGATATAGTCACCCTAGAATCGATAGTAAAGCAAAGAATCTGGTTAAATTAACATGCGACTATTTTTCAGTTATTGATGTTGTTTCATAAATCATGCCTAAATAGCGGAATTATTAAGGCAGGTAAACAATACTGCGACCCGTCCTTTCATCCTATAGAAAATCCGTTACAGGACCCCATCGCCGTTTGCGATGAAGACGGCATTCTGACTCCTCTTGATTCGTAGTATACGAATCAAGAGGAGTCAGGATGCCTAGAGAAGACGAAATTTATTTCTTATAGTAACACACACACGTATAGCGCTTGCGCCAATGCGTGCGCGGCAAACTCCAAAGGGTAAATAGCAGTTTTATTGTAGTGGAAAACTATTCCTGTATGTAGCCATGCTATGCTATGTATATATGTAAGCACTGCTAGAAAAAAATTATTTCATTAAAACGTTTTATCGCAGTCAAGTTAAATGAGGGATACTAGGGTTTTGCGTGTAGAAAGCAAACTAGTCGGAATCGGAAGCGAAGGCAATCAGACTTCGACATAAGAGGAAGACAATTTGCTGTTAAAATCGACATCATTGTATCGCGGTTTTTCTTCATCACGAGCCTAGTTTTAGCCTTACACACGTTATTTAAGGATTACAGCAACGCCACATTTGTTGCCCTTTCCGGAGACTTTTCTGTACTGATTGTTCTTGATGCAAAGGCTAGAAATTTAAAAATGGCAATGTACGTGCGGCAAACGCTCTCGCCCTTGAGTGTATCCTGATTGTTAATAATTCCATGAAACTTCAAGCAGTAGCATTCGTATCTTACCCTATTCTTACATTTTGACTGAATGATGGGCTGAATTGGCATCAGTAGCCGCCTGCTTTGAAATGTGTACTTTGTGCGTACGGGCCAAAAATATACTGTTTCACATATTAGAACTTGAAAAATCTCTTCGTTTCAACATAGGTATATTCACCCTGCGTTTCGTTACAGACTGCAGACTTTTGATCATAGCAGTTAGTATATTTATATGAGACAGATAGTTCCTAGCGCTGGCGTTGTATCAGATAAAAACATAGAATCCTGCGGTGAGAAGCTTGACTAACTAAACAAAGCGCGGAAGAGTCGCGACTGTCAATTCACTTATTTGTTACGGATGCAGACACAAAAGTGTAGAATAGAAGATATCATTATTCGCTGAAAATCCGAATGACTTTCAGTGGTTTTGCCGAGACAAAAATGATACTGCGACACGTTTTGCCGCTATGGCAGCAACATAAATCATAACATTTGTTCTCCATTACGTCAGCGAAACCAATTGCCAGGAAGGGAAAGGAGCAGCTTCTTAGAAAGGTAAGCCAAGCGGACAAGCTACGCAAGCAAGCGAACAAACGTAAATAAATAGCGATTAAAACGGGCGGAATAGGTCAAAAGAAATTTTAAAAAAACATACTACTAAGTACTGCCGTTATGCCACAATGATAATATAAGAGAAAAATTAGGAAATACAGGTAGTTTATTCTTTACGTTACGATTTGGATAGTCCGAGTTCTGTATAGGCATAGCCGTCTCTGAGAGTATGGATCTCTGAGAGGTCATAGAATATCGCAAGGGAGTGCTACTGGGTTAACAGTAACAGTTTTATACCAAGCGAGGAACCATTTTGCCTGGTGTTAAAATAAGCCAGGGGAATGCTGTAACATGTTACTTAATAACACGTATTTTCCCCCGGGAAAATAATGAAATAAAAAACAGTAATGTGCAATCAATGTTTCGCTTCATAACTCAAGAAAACGAAGCGTTATGAATATATAAGTCAGATGGTGACATAATGTGTCTGAAATAAATAATCTTAATAAAATAGGCTCAACGATCTGCGTGAAATAATATATATTAACTAATTACTAATAAATTACTGTTTATCGTTTATTGTTTCTGGGATCAAAGGAGATTAGCCTGTATCTGCCAGACGACTAGCTTTGCAGTCGACTGACCGCTCCGTAAGTTCTCAAATTGGTTTCGTTAACGATAGAGGCGTACGGTAGACATCAAGCGTAACATCATGCAAGAGCCTCTTATAATAGTACTTGTTTTGAATATCTGAATATAGAGCTTGGATGACCATTTATCATGCCCAGATCTGTAAAAAGCTCACCTAAATTCGGTTTCAAAGTTTCAATTATTCCATAAAAGAAAAATTATCGCTCTTAGCAAGAACATAGCGAAATAATTCCTTAAAACTTCACGCGAACAATTCCCATTCTGTCTTCCATCAGGTTGATAAGAGGTCCAAGATCCTGCAGCAAAACATTGAGGTAGACGAGACACCCGTTCTCTCATTGAAATGCTCCAATAGGGCAGGTTGTTGTAATATTTTTCTTGTGACCAATGGCCGATCGCACACTGACGACTTAACTCTCGGCTATAGATTTTCTAAGGCCTGGCCTGTTTTAAGTATTTTATCTCGTTACAACTATCCAGTATAATGCTCATGTTTCATTGGCCTGTTATAGTAGTAATTAGTGACCTTGCTTTTCCGATTCCCCGATTCGATTGTAAGTTCGTTATTTTATTGGAGTAGTCCACTACCGCGCCTCATGAGCCCTGCTGCTTACAGAAGCAACTCACCTGAACTCTAAAATTGTCAATTTAATCTCAAATGAACTTTGGTTAACTTATTTGCATAAGGTTCGCCGCCGACGGTGCACACGACGGTAGCCTAAAATTTCAATTATTCCTGCTTATTCCTGGTGTCCCGTATAATCCCTCAGTTTTCCGGAAATAAATATTTATTCAATGGCATATAGTTCAAATTCCATCAACTGTTCCAAAAATAGTTTAAATAAGCATTACGCTTTCCTATGGAAAAAAATATACCACGGGTATAAACACTCTTTAAGGATATCAACGGATACCACTTACATGTCATAAATTTATTTTAAAAAAAATGTATAATTATTGTAAAATTATTTATAAAGGGCTAGATCCTAGGATCCATTGAAGGAAGATCCATGTTGAAGGATCCTGGACCTTCGAGGAGTCCTCAACAAAGATAGAGCAGATTGCAGAAAAATGTTAGCATTTCGCTCTATGGAAGACAGAAGCTTTCCCTTATTTCTCTAATATACTCTAGCGACCTACCAAAGATTAGCCTGGTCCGACTATTTCAAAGGAGTCTATTTAGGCGGGACAAAGCAGCGAATGAACAAACACAGCCTTTCAGTAATATATTCCACAAACTATGATAAATAAGTTAAGTATACGCAGAACGTGAGGGCCATGAATTCCCTATAATAATACATGGTGGCTTTGTAACGACCCGGCAATAATCTGCCAATGCGACCGACTGACAGGACACTGCGTTCTAATTACTCATGGGATACATCGCTTATCGTATATAGGATCGCATCATATGGAACTGCCTGACCCATCCCATACAAAGCAAACGGTTTGGTTTTATGCATGCAGATTCGATCGATATTTGACGAAGTATTATACTATCAGCTAGAGAGATAGGTTTTTGTATTAACACAGTGGACTACGTGTTTGCCTGCTAATCCCGGGGCTACGTTATGGTCTAGGTTCGAGGTCGGGCCTAGGCAGAGTTCATTGCGTACCGGAAGCCAGCATTCTGTCCGGTAGAATGTCTAACGGCGGTAACAGACGTAGAGATCGATACATAGAGCAAAGCTATCTATACCAAAGTACGCATAATTACAGATGGGCTAAAAGTAGTTAGACTGGATTAAGGGCACAACTCATTTCCCTCATAAAGACAGGAGACAAAAATCAATCTGAAAGCTCATTGGTCAGTGGACCAAAACAGGTAAGTAAGTATCGAAGTACGTATTAAGTATTCGGGTTTCACGTCACGTATGTACGGCGTTAGGTAGCACTTCAGACGGCTGGTTTCTTTCAACACAAAGCGAAACGTGCCCTCGCTCCGCCCGCCGTCGCCACATTTAGCTTTAACTGGCAAATATGGAAATACGGAAATTTGCGAGAAATCCGGTCAAATCATGGTCTGATAGTCGATTTCAGGTATTCTACTAGACACTATAACGATCGTGTTGCGCCGGTTCGTGATTTACGCACACCTGTTTGTATCACTAAGTCTACAGCATGAAACGACTGTCTTAATTTCAGGAGTTATTAACAGAGAAACTGAGTCTATCAGCTGGCTGTATAATTGATTATAATTATACAGTTAGTTATTTGATCACCCAACGTGTGTGTTTTGGGTGACCAAATAATTGATGATACATACTTTAATAGTTTTATCCGTTTCGATGTGGACAAAGTCTAGATGCGTATTCATTCTCCACTGATGGTATATATGGATCGAACGCCATAAGATGCATCTTGCCACCTACTCTGCAATACGAAGATCGTCTAATCATTTACCCACAGAGAGAAAAAGGACCTAGCCAACAACAGTCTATCACAATCGGACAAAAAGTATCTGTTTCTAGTAATTTCTACGCTCTACTGAGATTGATATCCAAGTCCGATCGCCGAACTATTGAATCTGAGCCGGTAAACACGTGTCTGCATTTACCGAACAAAAATTCTTTCCTTATGCGTTAGTAACGATACGGGATATTCATTAAAAAAAATTCAAGGTTTATCATATATGAGTTGGCCCCTCTCTGCCCAGCTTGGTTTGAGCAAACGCTCTCCGCAGCGTTACCATGACGACCAAACCTATTGTAGGTTTCCCGTATGCGACTTCCGTCAACAGCATTCACGAGCGAGCGTCCGCGTTGCGTTTCCGTAAACCAGTTAATCCATTGGCTTCGCTCAGGCTTTTCATTATACAAATACTGACACGGAATCGAAGTGCATGCTGTAACAATATGATAATACTGGGATATAATATCTATTTATTGAGTTGTTTTCCAAAATATTTAATAAAATCCTTTATTGAATTATGAGAATAGTGAAGTAAAAAGATGTCCCCTTTAAATGCGATGGACGACTGCCTTCTGTTCGCGGCATTCTGCCATTATGAATGCTGCCGCTGCGTGGTACCTTCATCACTAGCGTTGCACGGCAACAGCCGTCTCGAAAATGCACTCACTCACTCATAAAGGAAAGGAGGATTTGATTGTTGTTTACGCTAGTTCAGAGGGCGCTAGCGATTTTCTGCGGCGTGAGCATCAATGATTTTTTTAATTAACAGAATCCCGTAAATTCAACTACTTGTGTCCCACAGAATATGACAATAATTTGGCTAAATAATTTTCATGATTGGAAGAGAAAATACATCCTACGATAGCACGTATGGAACATCCATATGTGCGTTCTACACATCAATGGCTTCAGCATAGGCGATGGTAAAATCAGTGGCAAGCCTTCGGTGTCTTGAATATATTAGCGATTTACATTTAGACAAACATTAGCGATATCCGTTCTCGTCAGCTGACCAAACGTTGACACGTTACTAGCTGTTATGATAATGGTGGTAATATAACCACACAACACCTTGTTTGGAACACGAGCCCCTAGCTAGACGTTTAACAAATACAGTCCGTCGAGTCGATAAACGTATTGATTCTGTTCCTCGAATGTCAGCGGGGCTTAAGGAGTGAATGAAAATATAAATATAGGATTCTATAGATGTATATATGTTTCCCTTGACCTATTGGCTCTATTGCCGGATATCAGTAAATGTAAACATTTAGGATTAACTATAAGAATATATATAGCATTTAAACCCGAAAGGTTTAGCTTCATATCGTGCATAAAAACATTCGCATTCAAGTTTGGTAGTAGAAAAGCGTTATTAAAAAAGGAACGACAGCTTCGCGTTTAGTCAGGATAAGAAACAAAGCCAACGGTAATTAGTGATACCACTTAATAGTAATAATAACAATGCTGAACCAATGGTCTAAATGGCTAAACGAGTGCGGTACACTATATTGCCAGTGTATTTCTATTGCAAGCAAATAATTGACACTTATGTTATTACAGACGCTATCGACGAGATGCAACAAGCTTCTACCACGCGAGCAAAAGATCATACGTCGTCCAAACACGAATTGGACCGTTTGGTTATCTGGTTTGTCTATCTAACGCTAATCTGTATGAAAAAAAGGACAGCAATTGGACGTATAAACAAGAGTAACAATGACCGTCAATGTATCATGACCTAGGTCTACACGAGGATTCTTCAAGTAAATAGGTGGTGCCCATACACGAATGTGCCATTATGTCTTTAGCCAGTAGTTTTAGTTGCGATGCCGAGACCGCAGCAGTTCATAGTAGTATTCACGTTGAAGGTCAACTAACGTTATTGAATCGCATGTAACATGGAAACAAAAACAAGGCCTTTTATGTTCGTATGGTAAAATATAACGCTAGCGTGGCTAGGTATCGAGGAGACGCTCGTCTAATTTGGATTAACTCGTCAAGCGTACCAAGTAGCTTTTTCGAAAAAAGCAATTCATAAACAGTAGAACTTCGAAAAACACAATGAACTTGCCGCAGTGTTCAAGTGTTGTATTTTTTGTGAAGCAAAATAGTTATGCCTAACAACCAGATTCCTTTCTATGTACTGAATTGCACGACTGGCTTATATGAAATTTCGTGAGGCCGTATGAAGCTGGCATATACGAAGTGACAGCTTCAAAAATGGAAGGAAGAGATGGCGCCGAGCTATTCGTCCGTAGAGCTTATCAACGCAAGCACTTCAAAACAGCTCTCTAAACTTAGCCCGAATAGGTCACCTGTCTATGGCCTTAAACAAGAAGTGCTTCTTCAGTCTCGACTCATGTTACATGTTCTCCATTGGTCCTTAGAAAAGTCCACTGTCTCTCTAATTGAATGGATACATTTATTTAACCGAAAAAACTACGTTTTCAGGGGGGTGAAATGAAGTAGACGTCTGATCCGGATCACTACTCGACAGTGATATGGCACGTGCCGGTAGTACAGGCCTTTGTTTGTTAGCTATGAGGTTTAAAACGTTTTGAAAAGGCCAAACTGTGCATTTTTAAACTTTTCACAAATTGGTAAATGGCTGTTTATTTCCTATATTAACTGTAAGTTGTTTATTGCCATAGGAGCGCGCTCATCGGTATCCTGCGGTAACTTGAATAAACAACAAAGTGTTTTACTGTCGCACATCGCTAACTCTAGAAGTGTCATGCTCGTCCTTACCTCTATATCATTTCGTTTATATACGCATGTATCTATTACACATATACTGCTTGTCCTGCAACAGGTTCTCATCCAGTGCCTCAAAGCTTTTCAAGGCCTGCTCCACACTTGTTTTTTTTGCAATGAAATAGGCGCTCTACAATCGAGGTGAGGTAAACATTTAGTCGTAACAAGGTTCAGTTTTTTTTTTTTGTTTATATAAAGACACCTGTCATTCCCCCTTAAGTTAGCTTCTATACACTTATTAGCCAGCCATTACGTATGTTGCAATAGATCAAGGGTTTTCTCAGTATATTGATCTATCCATCTACACATCTTTTTCTTTTTTTACTTATATTTACTCCAGCTGGTATATCGGTATTATATCTAACGAAGCGGTCAGGCCGCACTGCGGACTGTCGAATGTTGCATGGTTGCCTTTCCCTATGCGAGCGTCGTCGTCATCACCGGCAGCATCATCAGCATTAACAGTCATCCCTCGGCCCTCAGCGTACGTTTATAAGAAAAGATTCAGCCGTGGACAACTCAAACCAACAAATAGCCCTCCTCTAGCCTAACGTGCATCGAATTCTCTGCTGCCTCTATCTCCGGCTGCCTTCCCCTAACCCCATCAGCCTCGCGTGCCCTCATCGCCACCTCATTGTAAGTACCATGATGGGAGACACAAAAACAGTAGCAACAGAAGCGCAGATCATCAGTCTTTGAACGAACACACGCTACTCTGAACGATACCGAAAGACGAACAAGAAGAAAAAACTGCGTAGCGTGCGCAGCAGCGGTGGCGACCCGGACGGTGGCTCTGCCGATCGATTGTAATTGCGCCTCCGACGTCGTCATCTTTTTCTTGTTCCTAGTGACAGTGTCTCCGTCTCTGCTACCGTTGTGCCGTTTGGCTATTATCTATCTCATTGTCGCCTTGTTGGTGAAGTGCTAGTGTCGCTGCCGCTAGTGTCGTCGACGTCGCACCTCAGGCGGGTGCCTTTGCCTCGCATATAGAAGAAAGAAATCTGTTCCCGCTGGATCTAAGCACTAGCACCATAGCGTAGGCGGTTCAGAAGCGTACGGTTTACGAGCGATCTTAGTATCTACCACGCCTCCTTCTTTTTCTTCTGATATTTTGGGGTTGCTGCTGGTGTCGTTTGGCCGCATTGCTGCTGTCCGCCGTCGCCTCCGGCTGAATACGACCTAGCATAGCATGGGGTTCGAGCCATGAATGAATGGTATTTATTTTGGACTGCATCGCGTCGTCAGTCTGGGATGCTTGCACGCGTGTGCGGCTATTGTTAGAAACAACAGCAACGCTCGCGATCCCATCTTTTCTCGCCCGCGTTGCGGCTACCCAAGGTCATGAGGATCACGTCGGCCCGCTGGGCTACTGCGATCCGCGTCACAATCACCGCTTAAAATCTACGCAAAGGCATCTAAGCTAGAACTTCCATCGAATAATTCCATCACTCGGCACCACCGCCCGAGGTATCCTAGTGAGTGCGCGTAGGAGCGCTACTGAAGTGAAAATTTTCGAGTTTCATACGCGTATATAGATTGTGTAAAAAACAAAGGGGACTGAGGCTAAATTGCAGTCAACTTGCCGTACCATAGTGACGTGAAAACTCTTCAAGAGAGTTCTGTATTAAGCCAATTCAAAGGTTTACATTGTTTCAGTCTCCTGTAACCCTGATCGCTACGTTTGTATTTACGTGTACTGTTTTTTTTGGGGTGTGTAAGATATAGTTGTTGCCAGCAACTTTCAACAAAAGAAGACATGGCATCCTCGGCTAATATGACTAAACTTTTGTCAGACGCGGTTGCGTTGCCCAAATCTGTGTACAACGACCCAGATACGTCTATAGCGGACATGACTGCCCGACAACTGTGGGCCGCCTTTCTTCATATGGGCGATAACCGAATTACACATTGGACTCTCATGGGCTCTCCATTCAAGGTATGTGCATTGATAATCCTATTCCTTCTATACGGTGACACTTTTGTAATTGTGATAAGAAGTGATTAGCCTCCTGTAGCTAAACCTCATCGTAGGCAATAGCCTTCGTTTTTCATACAGCGCTCATAGAATCCAAATTAGTTATATATTGAATTCTAGTGAAAAATAGTTGTTGGATTTACAGAATTGATAATGCAATACTGTCCATGAGGTAGAGTAAATGGCGTCAGAGTCAAATTAGAACCGTGCTCCACAAAACGAAGACGCACTAAAGAATAACACAAGCTCGGCCTGTTCATGGAAATGGCCCGAAGGCCTTCCATAGCAAAAAAAAAAAGCAGCAAACGGCTTAACTTCGAAGAGATGTCGAAGGGTAGCTATCCTCACTCTGTCTAGGAGGACGTGGGGGCTGAACCTTACGTTAACCTTCGTGGTTCGCCACGACTGCGCATTTCAGACGTTGTTACCTTCTCTGCTCATAGATATATCTATGAAGACTGTTCTTCTCAGTTGCTACTGGCGCTAGACATCTTGGGACTAAGGAGTCTGAACCCATGTGACGCGTCACAGACCAAATTTGCCAAAACCTATTTGTCGTTACTTTCGATCTTGATAATCAAATATCGTGGTACCTAATAACTGTTAGCATAATTAAATATAGCTCGGCTAAGAATATGTTCCTTAAGGATTAATTGAAAAGTTATGTAAACGTAACTCAAGGAGTATATTCTACACCGTAGGTGTCTTACTTGCAAACGTTATACCTATGTTGTATAAAATTTCATGTAGATGTAAGCTTGCAAGAGATTTGATGTTGCACTTTTTTCGATTATACTACACAGCTGTGATAGTCAGATGAGCCGTCATAAATGGACCTTGTAATGTCCCGAAGGAAATGTACGAACCCCACAGAACCTCATATGATCAGTCGCTTAGAGCAGTCTGTCTAGAAAATGCTTATGACATTGGGGAGTTGGTCATGCTGGCTTGAATATCATACGCTGGGGGTTTTTCCTAACCAGTTTTTCCTAATTTCGGGTCCTATGATTACGGTCATTGAGAACAGGTGCTTTCGGTGATTGGCGTCTATCTGATCTTCTCTACGAAGCTCGGTCCGTGGCTGATGCGCGATCGCGCTCCCCTCAACATTCGACCTATAGTTATTGCGTACAACATCTTTATGGTATATCAACAACGAATATTTTTCCCAGTCCTGAACATATCATCTATGCGGCATCATTGAGCTCTAGAAACAATGTACACGCCGCGGAAATAAAAAAAAAAAATAGAAACGGCGTCCGAGTCTACCTTTAGTGGCCTTAGAAAGTCCACGTTCTACTTGAAAAATTTACGAGTAAATAATTTGTATTTACTTACGTGTTGATCTTTAGGTTCTGTCCTCTGTATACTTCTGCGTGCTAACAATATATTATGCATTCATAAAATCACGATATTCGTTGATCTGCGCTAGCAATGACTCTGCTACAAATCCATACGCACAACTGATGTTCGACCACGCCTGGTGGTACGTCATGCTTAAGGTGGGTAACGAATTGTAGAAAGAAGAAGATTTGGTTTGAAGACCAAATAAGCGATCGCATCATCTTTTTAGCTGGTTCTACATAATTCAGTTAGCTGAATTCGGACAAGCCAACGTCACGGACCCTGATATTTTTCACTACTCTGTTTCTCGACAGTCCAGTCTGCGGCACGTTCTAAGGCTTTATAAATAATAATACATGTTTAAGAATCGCGCATTCTACAAGGGAACTGCAGTTTCTCTCTTGAGAAACAATTAAAACTAATCCTATAACCAGAATATTTGACAACGAAAATTTCCCTAGCAGTTTGATGAAGCGCTATGGGAAATGAAACTTTTGCCCATTAGCAATAGCAGACGTGTTCCCTTTGAGTGTAGTTTGATGCAATAATCTTATAACCTCCAATTTTGCGCGAGTTATGCATAGGTCGGTGAACTGCTAGACACAGCGTTTTTCGTCCTACTGAAAAAAGAGACCCATATATCGTTCCTACACCTACTTCACCATTCGCTGGCGCTGTGGACAGTATGGCTGGACGTCAATTTGGGCATTACGGGCCAGACAGCGCTATTCCCCATCCTGAACTGCTCAGTACACGTCGTTATGTATACGTACTACGGATTAGCGGCCCTTCCTAAGGAAATCCGGCCAAATCTGTGGTGGAAGAAATATGTCACGCAGTTCCAGGTACGAATTTCTCAACTTCTATGGTTTGTAAACTATTTTTTCCCACTACGGTAGTTTTTCGTTTAGTGAGTTTTGCGCCCGTGACCGCTTCTTCTAGTTCGTATCTCATAGTGTTTATTGCCGTAATAGCGTTGTCATATAATATCTGTTTTGCGTCGAGCATTACATTTTGACGAGACATGTACTAAACTTCAAAAGATACTAATTTATCAATAAAGCATTTCTAATATAGACTGGTTGTACGTCTTCGGCTCTAAATCTACATAAGTTTTTGGATGCGATGGCCCTGCTTCGATGACAGCAAAAAGGAGAAAAAAACGGTCCTTGACTTACATACTGTTTGGCCATGTTCTTTCCAGATCACTCAGTTTCTTCTTCTAATGCTACATGGATCAGTGCCGATCTTTTACGATTGTCAATTCCCTCCTCTGATGGCATCCCTGATGACCTTCGAAGCCGGCTTGTTTACGTATCTCTTCTCTGATTTCTATATCAAGACTTACTTGAAGACGTACCCGAAGAGCATTGGCGACAAACCTACGAAGACCGACTAGCGATCCCCTTCTAATAAACTTATTATCACACACAGCAAAAACGACTTTATTATTGCAATCGATGTATGACAGAACATATTAACTTTAAGTACCACACGAACATTTTGAATGAAGGTGAGTCAGGGCTTTCAATCTACGACATGGATCTAAGACTGTCGAATTACACGTAACAATCATTCAGAAGCTATTATTAAATATCCTCTATTTTCAATATGGATCATGTAAACAGGACCTCGTCTACCCCTTCTTACCTTCAGCGTTTTTTCTCTCGTTAAATTTCCACAGCAGTGTTTGCGCAAATTCGAATTTAACCCGACACTGTTACGGTTAGTAACCCCCTTGCCCAAAGCTGAAAGCACGTGACGCCTGTTGCGCAGATACAACGAAACGCAAACAATAGAAGACGATCGGGGCGAAGGCGATCTACGCAATAGAAAAACACACACTAACGATGTGCTGCTAATTACCTGACTATGAAGACCTAATAAGTTATAGGTTCTAGTTGCATCTGTGGCGGCGCGATTGACAAGGACCTAGCATCAAATGAAACATTGTTTTACTATAATATTTCAATTGAATATCCAAACATCTAATCTAATAGAGAAAACATTTCTTCTCTATATACTAATAGATATCAACGTAATTCAACGAAATCTGCCGAAAATCACTAACGATTCAAAATAAATTCTAGATGGTCCTTAGTCCGGAAGCTGGGGCCGTGCGTTCGTGAAGCGTTCGGAAACGGATAACGTACGCAATTGTAGGTTATTGGAATCACAAAAAAACATAGGCCATATTTGTGTCGTTTGCTTACAATGTTACAGCTGCAAAAGACAAGTGGACTATACAAATTAAAGATCTATATTAATATAATATATAAAAATAATAAACAGAAATACTGAGATGTCTATTCAGCTATTGAAATCTAGGGCTTTTAGGTGTTATTGAGGTCAATTTTATCACTACGTATATCCTTTTTCCCAAATACACTTGGTAATAATAAATCTCAGTTCTCAGAAAATCGCATTTGTTTTTATTTCAAAATGATAAAAAAAAAAAAAACAGCTTTCCTTATTGACACAGACGCTGTACCTTAAAACGAGAGTTTATATCAAGATTTTCGTTGTCGGATTTTCGTTCATGCATGTACCAAATTGGCGCTGTCTTCAGCAGCCATTGGGATGTGCAGCGTTGTTCAAAGAGGGATAGCTTATCTTGCTAGATACCCTTATCATACTCGTTATTGAATGGAACCCGGCCCGCACGACATATTCGATGGCTAGAAAGTTGCTATACACGTGACTCGCGTAATTACTTATATTTTCCATATCATCTTCCGGTATTCATTCATTATTAAGTTCGTCTTGGCACAAATTCATTACCAAACGAATCTTGAATCAGCGTATAAAGAACGAACGAATACACGACAGAATTGTACCTTTTGCTCTAATCCTCTAGAAGAGTCGGAACTTCGAACATTTGCCGCTAGATAGCGCATCAGTATTGTTAGTACTGTCACAGAATTACTTCGATAAATTCAATTAGAAAATACATGTTAGAGAAGGTTCATAGTAAAAAAAAACTCTATAATTTTCCGCACAATTTTTTCTCGTGTGCACCTCAATTTTTTTTATTTGTTTCTATTAGACAACATACACATTGTACGTATCACTTATCATAGCATCCTATAACGTTATCGTTTTGCCGCTGCCTGAAAGAGGCGTTTTAGTCATTGGATCTGCCATTAATTGCATACAGGAAAACTGCTGCGATAACAATGAGGAGAAATCGAGAACTGAACCCCTAGTATCCTTTGACAACGTCAGCGCATCGTTGGTACGGCAAATCTGGACAGCACGTTTTTGTCCCTTCGACACCCACTTCATCTACCACCATCATCCCGATATCACTGGCTTCGTGGCAGAAATAAGTAAGCTAGTATGCGAATAGGACGAAGGTAGGTGGTCAGCGTAGATCGAACCATGCTTCTTTTTATTGACGCAAATACAAAAAGTAAACAGTCGATTGCGGAGCTGAAGGAAGGAGGCGTTGAGCCCGGAAAACTTTCAAGTAAGATCATATTTGTGCCAAGTGTGCAATTTGTCGTATGTTTGCCCAGCCTTATTGTGCTGGTACAAAATCGAGCCTGTTTTTGTTTTTCGTAAGAGGAACGGAATCTGTTGATCGGAGAATTCTCAGACGGGCATATATAACGCATAAGAGAAAAACCTATGGCCACAGGCCACATAAACTCAATAGTACGGGATTTGTAGCTCTTGAATATTTTTAGTTTATTTATCGTTAGATAAGAGGTCAGGTACGTGCCCATTCTTAGTTTACGCAACGTATTCGATAATAGGTTGCGGGTTTTATTTTTGCCTAGTCTAAAAGCTTTGCGGAATTCCAGGTTGCTTTGTTTAAAATCGCATTGTGCGTTACCTTTAAAAGTATTTCATTATATTATGTATAGAGAGACGATATTAATGTAAGATCGTGGAACAATTAGAATCGCTCTGTGGAAGACAAAAAGTTGCACGTAATTTCCAAGATAAAACCGGATTGGTCAAGATAAAACCTAGTTATATCAGCCTATGCAGTGAAAACGGAAAACCGTTTCATTAAGTCCGTCGACACTCCAGCAGAATTGTTCGACAGTTCTTTTGGGTCGTCATCGATGTGTGCGGTTGAGCAGTAGTCCGCTAAAAGGTATTGTACTGGTATGAAAGCTACAAGCATATTCATTTGTCCAACAATAAGATTAACTTGTGCCTTCTTCAATTCGGTAAAGTTACAATTGACTGTTAAAACATCGCGCTGTCGCCAAGGTTTATATCGGCATGGGATCTGGTAGCTCAGTTTCTACGAGCACCATAAACTATAGGGTTGAAAAACTTACGAGGCAAATAAATCTGCCCGGTTTGTGTTCGCGAAGTTCACGTTTTACCATAGCTGGCTCGTTACTTAATTAGTTAGCTGGTATTATCTCTTGTTCCGCTTTCCGCACAGACGCAGTACGTATTCATACCTAAATATACAATTTTTTTTTTTGTTTTCATTTAGCATGTTTCAATTAGCATTGTGCTGTATTCGACTACAGTATGCATCAATCATATGGTTAGCACAGATGTTTTAGAAAAACGTCAATATGAAATTATAGTCTGTGGTAGCCAGGAGAGAAATGTCCTTGACCTACTTGAATCAATCTGCAATAGACCTTCTACTAATTTTTTCTATTCAAAAACACAATAGATCGAGACGATTTTTGTTTGTTTCTTGACGCTTCAACATCTTGCGCATTAGTTCATCTTTACGACATTATTCTAAGGGTTTGTTGCATTGTAAGAGGTATAATATGGAGAGATTACGGCATATAGTTTGCGTTTATGGTATGGGATGATACATAGAAAGTTGCACGCTCTTTTTTTGTAACCTGTCTTGTCTTGTCTTGTCTATAACTTCTAAACGCAATACGGTGAAAAAAACAAACAACATTTACATTTATATCGAATGATCGGACATAGCAGGGATGCTCCCCCGCAGGGATCAATAAGGACGAATGCCTATGCATTGTATTGTAGAGGTGATAGAGAACAATCTCAGTCGAGCGTGCTAAGATAAGCTTGGATACGTTCGTTTCGCGTCGCCAGTACGATCAATGCGGCACCAGGAGCCGTATTCAATCCATTATTATTAACATTAGCGTCGCGCCCAAAAGACTTCGAATGATTGCTATATACAGATTTGTAATGCGACGTTGAAAACAGGGTGCTAGCCCTATAAGCGCTTGTTCGGCCGCCCAGTGGCGCTGATATCAGGAACGGTATATGAAGGTCGCAAAAAAATTGACAACTGCGTGCTGTATGTACGTACAATTTATAAAGACATACCCGCGCCTTTATCCCTATATTCGGAAGACACGCAAATAACCGGAAGATGTATTTTTTTTTTTTTTTTGTTTGCTTGTAAGATGTGTCGCGACAATCACATTTTCCGTATCAGCAAAAAACATTTATCAACAACAGTGTACAGAGGACTTTTTTAATATACGCCGGGTAATGAGACCGATAGAAGTTCTAGTCTCATGTCAGAAATTCAAATAGTTCAAACGATTACTGAACTGGAAATGGAAGCTATCTGAAAAATGTTTCATTTTTAAGCAAACACTTGGGTAATCTTTGCTTTGATGAGCCTTATCTTTAAACGATCAACACTTTGCTACCGTACTCTAATCCGAGGTTGAGAAACGGGCTGCGGTTTTTTTCAAGCGTGGGCGCTTAAACTGATTGCCAAACTATGTCAACGGTTCCAGAGCAACTCTATAAAAATGAATGCTAGTAGTACGTTAAAGATATTACGTCTGATATACGTATCAATAAATGTAACCATTTTCTTTGCTGCTCGGTAGCATCATTGGGTCGATTTCTCTGAGAAGCAGACTTACAGAAATAAACGATGCGTTGTCGCTTGATCAAGCTGTGAAACTTTAGCCCAGAAATGTGGGATTCCCAGGCCGGGAGCAATGCACATAATAAGGGAGTCTTGCTGAGAGGACCGTTTTTCATCGGAGCGTAACATTTCTACTGGCCAAGCTACTGAGTTGGCTTGCAGACCAAGATCTAAGGTTGACGAAAATGTCTACTTAAGCTAACAGTTTGGCGGCTCAAAGTAGCTACATTCTGGTAGCAGAGTCAAGGTGAAGTCGCCGAAAGAAAAAAAACGAGAGTGCTTAGTGTTGTCATTACAAACAATACTTTCTATATAATCATATTCTGATCGTTATTTCGTTGTGTTCGAAGACATCGGCGGAAAGTTTGAATCAGGCTCATTTAGTATTTACAGCACATGTGTATACACTACAGGCAGACCAGATGAGATGCTCTGCTGCAATGCCCAATAGTGGATCATATTAAAGACTATTTGAAACGTGCTCGCCAGCACCGATATTCCTCTTAACCGATTTTACTCATCAAGTAAACGACGAAAGAGATATGAAATTGAAACTGCTCTCTTAGAAAACAAGTTTAGTTATGGCTTTTTATATATTCTCTGGCCTCGTTCGGAAACCTTCAAAGAGAAAAATGAGTGACAATCCCTATAGAGAGAAAAGGTTGGGTTCAAAGAGACAGGCTATGTGTATGTTCCGCTCGACTTTCCCTTACAAGGGAACGTTAATTTGACATTTTAATACCCTATAATTCCATTTGAGCTTTCGAGTTCCTAGATTGTTCTCGGTTCTGACCGAATTTTTTGCCATATGGTTTTTTTTTTTGGATATTCTAATATTTTTTTTGCATTCTACTAAATTTGAGCGATAGTTAAGTCAAGGAAGCAATTCTTTTTTCTACTACAGTACTACCCCAAGTTACATTTTCAGAGATAAACTGAAAGCAAGCTACGTTTTATAAAAAGCATTATATTAGGTTATCGCACATGATCACCCTAAGGGCTACAGTCTACTCAACCATGTTTAAGACGGATGCTAATTCTACAGAGTAAATTGAAAGAACTAGGTCATTTCAGGGTACAACTTATCTTAACAGGTATGAAAGTATGTGTATGCATGTCGATATATGCTAAGGCATCGTCGCCTCGAACTTATTTTATCACGTCGTCGTCATCGTCAACAAAATGTCATAAGTAACAAGTTTTACGGACTTTATCGCCGTACCCAAAACAAGATTGTTAGCATACGTACTACATCATGGATAGTCGTTATCATAGAACGGAACGAACCATGAATAAATCCTCTATAAGCAGGGTTGGTATAAAGTTCAAATTAGTTTTGAAGAACGATGAACGCATTGCCAGTAGATTTTTTCTGTTCAAATAAAACAAACCCGCGCATGTGCCAGTACCTGGATCATTTAAAAGATGGTGGCGGCAGAGTGTGTAACAAAACTTCATCTGGACCTATAGTAGGTAAATCGTAATTGTTGACCTGCTTAGCGTAGGCTAGCCCGGCAATAAATGATTAAAGAACATCGCCTTTCTAGAAGAAAAAGGGCACTTTCCCTTCAGCTTTGTTAAATGACTGGCTTTTTCGCATCAGTATAGCCTTATCTTTGGGCCTATTATATAGCCTGGCCATATGGGCCAACGATAGAGATGTCTTCAATCGATAGTTTTTATAAAATGGTGTTGGTCATTTCGGTCATACAATAGAAAAGTGACTAATAAACGGGTGTACCTTTCTTTTTCGTGATACTGGTTGTTTCCAATGACAGCTTTAAGAAGACTCTGACCATAAAGCTCTACTTCTTTCTATATGCATCTGTACTTCTGATCGCGTCAATGTACTGTATCGTTATTAGTATAGGCCTTGTGACTGGCAAGCAAACGAAGCAGGCAAAGGAACCAACGCCGAAGAAACATTTTTGTAGTAGATAGAAACTGTGTGCGCTACATATCAGTGATTTCGTTTTTACGTTCCGTATGGTGGGGCACGCCAGTGAGCTAGTTCTTTCTGTATTAATTTTTGGTGCTCCATAGTTTCTAACGAGAGCACGATACGGTGCATAAAAACAACGCAGTCCGCTATAATGGCAGGTTGATACATTTAGCAACCGAAGAATGGCTTGCATTTGGGAGCTGACTTAGTCCTCAAAAATCTCACTTAGATTTCGATGGTCAGAGGTGCTTTTTTCGTAGATTGATTTCACCGTCCGTCGACATGACGACAGCTGAATCAGTACAGCGCACACCTCACAAACACTAAGGGATCTTCAAGAATGGCCCTTCAAAGCCCCTTGAATAACAACACCTACCCACGTAGAGGTACGTTGCATTCTAGTATCGTAACTCCAATCATTCAATGCGCTGCCGTGATGCTCTCGATTCTCAAAATGACAGGCATCCTTCTGCCAACGTTCATTTGTAATAACTGTCTCCTAACGAAACCAAACAATAACCCTCTCCATAAGCGCGTCTTGTACCAAATCTCTCGCCGGATGACGCTTGATTAAAAATTTTGTTTCTGATTTCGTAACGACCTGCACAGAACGGTGTCAGCCCGCTCTAAAGCTAGAAGCTTCTAGCTACACAGAAGAAACAGCGAAGTGCTGTTGGAGCAAGAAGTTCTAAATACTTATGAATTTATTCATTTTCCTACTGAAAAATGTCATCTTCGTACTGAGCTAAACGTGTGTGCTTTGAAAACATTTTCCACCTCAAACTCCTGGTGCACGTGCGTCTGCAAACAGTAGATTTAGAGTAGAGGCAACGAGCACGCACTCCATTTCCCTGCCGCATCAGCTGGAATAGAAGTCATTAATTAGACCGGAAATGCTACGTACCGCGCAGATCATGATAAAGTTGTCGAGAAACCCGAATCCAATAAACGGCAGCGCATTGTGAACGCAGATAGCACGCAGCTGAGCTACCGTTGGCCGATTCGTACGTGCTACTGAAACAACAATCCCAACGTCAAAAGCTGTTAAACGTTATACAAATAAACGATTACAGTTGAACCTAGATCGTCTCTGTCGTTCGTTTTAGACACAACCAACAATACTATACCGAAGACATACTGTTAGCTTTGCGGGTAAACTTGAGGTATATGCCTCGTTAATTCAGAAGGTCGAATTGAAATTGCCCATAGCGGACTCGTAGGAGTGGCGCGTAAATCGAAATCATCCTATAGGCGCTGTAATAATAAGACCCCGATGGCGATGATGATGATGTTTCAACTGTAATTTTTCCGCGTCGCCCGTGCTATTCTAACGTAACGCACGAACAACGTACAGATATTTCGAATTGATTATATATCAACAATAACGTGCATTGCATAGACATAGCTCCGTGCTGTCGTATGACTAATTTGTAATAAATTTTCCTCTGATCCCTTGGTAATAATGATATTGTTATTATGCATTGTCTAATACTTCTAATGTTAGCTAATTTACTTATCGATACCTGGAAAGGTCGCTGTTTTGACAATCTCTGTTTCTAATAGTAGTTAGCTTAATGGTAGTGAAACGTCCATATCCTTTGACGTTCAAACGTTTCGTGTTTAAAAAACGGCGTACGCGTGGCATCCGCCATGCCCATAATTAGATGAGGGTCCTTAGGCCCTCAGTATCAGGTCAGAATACGACCGTTATTTACGCAACGTATCCACTTATTGTAATTACTGCGTTAACTTACAGAATAGCATTTTTCAACCGCTGATTCTTAGTCGACTCGATCTAATTGTTGCCTCAGTCTATTTATTGAATGGCTCACATCGTTGGGAAGTGCAGCTGTGAACAAGCTTCGTGGATACAAGCAATGAATAGAACCTAGATAGTATAGCAGATAAAACTAAGCTGGATTTAAGAGCAAAAATATGATGTTGTTTATGTCTAGGTAAGGGCAGAATTTCTTGGGGGAGTCATCTCGTTCCGCGTTCCCAACGCAGTAACAGTGAGAAAGCACTCGAACGAGTCCAACAAAAGTGGGAAACTAAGACGAAGAGAGGGAAAACTATAGGAACAGAAATACGAAAAGGAGACACATTGACATTTCATTGTTAATCAGTCTGCCGTCGTAAAGCAAGCGTACATAAACACGCGCATAAAGCAAAGCTGCATTCAAATCCGTGGGAAACATTAATTGTTAAAATTCTACATTACATGACAGCTGTGTAGCTATGAATTTTCAAAGTTTAAAGATCACTGAGGTCCACCTTATCCTGAGGTGGTACTTCTTATTTTTGCTAGTTTGCACTTCTTGATTTAATTCGAAACGAGTAATTCGAGTTTGATTCGATTAAACGAGAAACAGTTGGGCGAAAATACAACTGTTCGAAGTCAGGATACGTTGACCGAACATCGGCCTTCTACGTAGCTTACTATTGCGTCGGAACGAGCTGGGTTTCCCTATAAAAATTTGCGGATTGCAACTTCCTGTATCTGTTAGACTGTAGGCCTTACTTATCTCCACGAACGAATATCAACGCTAATTTCTACAGAAAAGTTTTGAAATTATGGATTATTGGATGGATGGATGGCAATCCTCAAGTGGATTCTTTGCCTTTTGCCTTGAAAGAACTAGGTACTTGTCGGACGAAAAGAAAAAATGAAGACTTGTTCTCGATATCGAGCGGAATTTCTGTCCACAAACAGGCCTGACAGGCCCTAAGACCGTGCTCAAAGGATTTTTTCTATAAAGGAAGACAATTTGTTTACGAGAATGCCTACCAAGCGATATTCGACTCCCGCTATCAAATAAATGGTTGGAACAGTCTTGGCAATGGTCCCGCTTCTCGTCCTGGAGACGGCTATTCCTTAACCTTTGACCGCTACGCTATCTTTATCGGAATACGTAGAGTACGTCCGACGTGACGGAAGAGATACTTCATCAGTGGATATGAGTATGTAATCCCAGAAAGAAACAGCCGAGGACCAAACCTACGACTGAAGTCCTCGCCACCATCGATCGGCTAATGAAATGCACCATAAGCGGATTGGTGTTTATTGACTATATCACATAGACATGTAATGAGCCACGTGATCAAGAAGAGGTATTGGACCTCATGTGGGGTTACACCACATTTATACAATAGAAGGCGAAAACATAGCGTTTCCAGGAATCAGCTTGTATAATCATCCTTCGATTAAAATCCTCTTGGTTTTGCCTTTGTGTGATGTTATATTGTGGTACATACGTCAATTATGAAATACTTAAGCATTATACCGAGCTTATCATAAAATCGGAATGCACTCTTGCTGCTCAGATCAAATCAGACTGATAATCATGCTTAGAGCTCCAATATGAAAACTAAAAGCAAAATGTAATTTCCGTCCGTATTAAAAGTGACCTACTTGTATTTTTCATTAGGGCGCTTTTGACAGCTTAGAGAATGTGTTATATCTATTGGTCTACCAAATAACCACAAAAACACTTGCTTGCATATAGATGTAGTGGTACGTAGTTGCAGTTCTGAAAAAAAAATTATTATTTCTGTGCAGTTCTACGGGTAAGATTTGTTCATCTATTTACTTCATAAAATTTATACAGTATTATGTACTAATACGATCTATATAGATATATACATACAGAGACGACATTCGATGTCGGCCAAAATTTGGCGCGCCGTTTGTCACGGCAGGCATGTGTCGTCCACGACTCTTGGTACCAAAAAAACACCAGTTTTTTTCTAGAACCAAACGACAAAGCCGTCATAGTGAAAAACAATACGTCGTTTCCGAAATTTGAACTAAAAACAACTGTTATTCAATGTCTTAAAGCAGGACAAAATTTACCAAGATTAAGGCCTTTTTACTCGGAATCGACGATTTGCGTTATTCTGAAAAAATCAGAGATTTTCATGAGGCAAACGGAAAGATTCTGATTGGGTTTCTAGTTTAAACGGTCCAAAAATTTATCAAAATGGCTTAGAGATTTAAATGTTTGTACAGAGGTTTCTAGGACGAGAATATTAATTACCAATTGGGTCGTTCAGGTGAGTTTTAGCAATAAGTTTTCTTCCAATAAGATTTTTCCACTTTTTTATTTTATTCGGCTATTTTATTTTTGGGACTTTTGGCTTGATAGCAACCCATCATGGGACCCCGCTGTAATCTTGCATATGTAGCGTATTTACGCGACGTTTTAAAGGGTTTACGCCCACCAACACCGCTTAACGAACACTTACAAATTAAAAATTTGATTTCTTAATCCGATTAAGAAAAATTAGGTTTCAAACCGAGATGAATGGTGGTTATATTGAATAAACATAACTGTGAATATCAACACTTTAAGAAAACAAGGTCAGGGGCGTCAGTGGAGCTTGTGAGTTAACACCGTTCTTTCAGGCTACTGGACGGGTACCCGAAGGCAATTTAAGTTTTTTTTTTTCTTCTCTCTTTGTAGTTGAGGGACTTCAACAAGAAATAGAAATCTTGCTGCATAGAGCCACACCAAGACTGCGTTTAATACTGAACCTCAGAAAGACAAAATCTATGGCAGGCAGGAAGGCAGAGTGGCTGCCTAAGATAGCTTAGTCATAACGGGCGCGTCCTCTAAAATACGTAAACATGTGCCCCCATCTAGGCCTGCTCATAAAGCACTACTGGCGTAATTTCATATAGCTCAGGGGTCAAAGATGCAAAAAGGCACTGGCTGGGGCGCTTATCATAAAAGACTCGTTACGTCCTTTCGGTCCAGTAGCAGCATAAGGGATCGACGTAATATGGCACGATTTGACCATCGAGAAGTGAGTTAGTCTAAGCCGTCGTTGCTTAAGTAGAAAAGGTGTTGCAGCGGTCCTGTGGTAGCGTTCCCCGTCGAAGAACCCAAAATAAGCTTCAACCTTCTATACACTTTTGTCTTGACGAAAAATTTCGGCAATTTTAGTTTTCCTATATATTATATATTTTGTATTTTTGTATATTTTGTAACTTCAATTTCAGATATTGCATAGAAACGAAATAATCCAGAATAAATATATTTGCGTTAGAATTGTTACCCGGGACATTGTCAATTCATTCACCATGGGTGTTGTAACTAATAACCGTATTTAATCCACACCAAACTGATTTAAAAGTCCCACCGCTGAAATCACTGGCTTCCGTCTTAACTATATTTTCAATAATCTCTCTAAGCTGAAAACAGTGAAGTGTTTATATCGCGTATTCACTATTCAGCTGTTTGGAGGATGATGTTTTCCTTAAAACGGCCACTGCTTATTGTCACTAAAAAAGTCGAAGGACTGCAAGTTCTGCCAAACATTACGCTTTACTGAGCGCTGATATCTCTTTAGGCAAGCGGCTTTCTGCGATTCTTCTAGTAGTCACTTGAGCAGGCGTGCCGTTTCGCCCCTTCTACCGTAAAGTAGCATCAAGACTAGTTCCCATAATGGTTTAACATCATTGCACTGCTACATCTGTGTGTAGCGTCTACCTGTCTTTTCCTACCAACAGCCAACTTCTAGTTATCAAGGGAACGATCGTACATTGCACTCAATTTTAGAATTGTTCATTTCCAAATGACTCAGTCCGACAGATAGAAAACAGACATTGTAGTCGAAAGGGATCAGGACTCGAGTTCAACCTAAAGGAGACAATCGATCCAAACGCGAACCAAACAACTAGTCTATTGTGGCTCATATATAAATTCAATCTAAGATATGGAAGACGTCTTACCAGCACAAACGGAAATCACATATAGGTGCACCTTTGTGCTACCGTGGCTATAAGAACACTCGTGATAGTAAGAGAAAACGTTTGTAAAAGTGAAAAGCGTCCAAGCTCCTAGGAACTTTATCTCTATATAGTTTTTAATAACTCTCCTTTGTTCTCTAATGGACATGATCGCACTCTCAGAACAATGCAGTTCTGGGTGAAATCTGCGTCAGAGAAAATCATTTCTAGAAGCTTGCTTTGCCATAGTCCGAGCGTTTAAAACTATGGCGCGTGTCACGCT